TAGCTATATTTCAAATCAAAGAGAAATTCTAGATTTTATTGTCCAATTGTTCACTCAGGCAACGAATACATATGACGCGTCGATGTAAGTTATTAGTCTTGTGAACTTGGAAATATGTTCATTTACGAATAATGTGGTGGACAGAGATTATGCAAGTAACAACTATATACGAAAGTATTTTCATACTTGTTTCTCTCATAGTTATAACGCTATTTTTATACATAACAGTGGTGTTGATCGTCAAGCAATCACGATATCATTAATTCCGTGCGTACTTTTTTTTTTTTTTTTTTTTTCTTTTTTTCATTTCCTATATTATGAACCAACAGGTGTTCGAGTATCGTAATCGAATTTAAGCGATGTGTAGCTATTGTCGTATGTTTCATATTTAAAAAAAGAAATTGACAAATATATTTGTGCGATAGTCAGATGTCCACCGTTTCGTAACTGGTAAATGTATAAATTCATGTACGGTATTATGATTTAGAACGTATTAGCATTTTTAGAAGAAATAGGAAGATGATATAATAAACGAGACTATTTATTAACATGTTAAGTATTTATTTTTTATGTTACTTCTCTTAAGAAGAACAGTTATATATTTGTACTGTATAAATACCTTTAAATATTATGTTTAGTCCTCTAAAATATATCGGACGAGCAGCCTTAGGAAACTTTTATGGATCTACGCAGAATGGAATGATTAGACAAAGATCAATTAAAGTAAGAAGAATTAAAGTGTGAAAAAAACGAAAGCGAGAGAAGGGGGGAGGGGGTAAGAATAGTACTCATTACATATTATGTAAAAAAAAAAAAAAAAAAGTGGCGTTTGACTGTGACTGCAATCATTATTAAGAAAAGAAGCACACATACGAAAGAGAGAAAGCGAGAGAAAAAGAGCGAGAGAGAGAGGGAGAGAAAGAGACAGAGAGAAAGAGAGAGAGAGAGAGAGAGAGAGAGAGAGAGAGAGAAACATTGTAATCCATGTTACATGTACATGTTACAATGTCAAAGATAAAGATCGGTGCATGTGGAATTGACACCGAATACAATTGTCGCGTGTAGGTCATAGTTTTCTTTTTCCCATATTTTTTATGTTACTCATGTTCGGAAAATTAAATGAACACTTGTTCGATTTGCTCTTGGTGAGAAACAGAAAAATTTGTATGCGCTTATTGTGTGTCTACCTCGAGCAGTTTTCTGTGTTTAAAATAAGAAAAAGATAAAATATTAATACTCAAAGGAAAAAGAAAAGATTAAAGAAAAAAACATTGAGTTATCGTATGCCCGTGATATGAATGTGAGAGAGAAGAAAGAGAGAAAGTAAACGAGAGAAAGAAAGAAATGAAAAGAGCACACGCGTAGGTGGAAAATATGAGCAAAATTAGGTGGGATGGCAAAAAAAATGTCTTCTAACTTTTATGAATGTTATTTAATCGAGAAGCGTCGCTTGTCGTTGAATCGAGAACGCAGACAAGATGTGTATAAAAGGAAAAAAAGAAAGAAAAAGAAAGAACAAACTTTAAAGAAAGCACAACAAGTTTTGTGCTTTCTTAATATGAGTCTCAATGGCTGTGTTTCATTTTTCTACGGCGAATGACGCTCATTGTATCATTCACTTGTAACTCTAATGATACTGCTATATATCTACTTCACTGAGATGGCGAGCAAATGGCAAAAGTGTGAAGGACTTAAGGAACGGTGTATGTACCATTCTGTCGGTCTCTTAATTAATAATTGCACATTTACACGCTACATTAGGTGAACCGAGAAAAATATGAGAAGTAGGAAAAAAAAATCTGCAAACAACTGTACGTCGTACGGCTATTGAATGAAATAATAAAAATAAAGTGTCTGAAATTTAAAAGGGAAGTCACACTTAACCTATAAAGTGTGTATATATATATATATACATATATATATACACATATATATGTATACACAAACACTTGTCGTTCATTAGCAATAAGTTACGATTGCATTGTGGAAATATGCATCTTGCGTTTAGTTAAAGCAACATGTGTGTTCTGTGAAGAATGATGTAGAGTGTCAATATTGTTACAAATACCTCATATGAGACGATGGATCACATATTATTTAAATATCATTCATTTAGTGATTCATTCGTTTATTTATAGTATTATGCAGTGACAGGAGAACTCTATAAAATGAACCGTATAATAAAGAAAAAAAAAGATTATGCAGTGTAGAATCTTTTTATATGTATATGCCTTTTTTACCCTACAATTTATATAAATATTCAAATATGTTCATCAATCTTTTACTTATATTTTTTGCAAATATATTTCTATTTCTGTAATTATTTTCTATATTTTAAAAAATTGCATAATCTTTTATACCGAACAATTTTAATTCATAGAGCTTTAATTTAAAATAATTAAAATAATTAAAATAATGTGTGTTTTTATATCCGTAGTAATGATATTAAAAAATATTACAAAAAATTTATCTTTATCGGATATATGAAGAAATGTTAATTTGTAAAAAAAAAAAAAATCCTAAATAATTATTAAAAATTTACATGTTAACTACATATATATATATATGTAGTTAACATGTAAATTTTTAATAATTATTTAGGATTTTTTTTTTTTTTAAAATTTAACTTTTTTTCTTATATCCGAAAAAAAAAATTTTTTTTTTCGGATATAAGAAAAAAAGTTAAATTTTAAAAAAAAAAAAAATCCTAAATAATTATTAAAAATTTACATGTTAACTACATATATATATATATGTATATATATGTATATATATATATGTAGATAATTTAGATTTGTTTCCAACATTTACAAACACATATATGTTAATATTTTTAAATTTTACGGAGTATGTATTTTTATTATTTTATATATTTAAAAAGAAGATGAGCAATATTTATTCAATAAATTTTCACACATGAATTTCTTGATTTTAACAATTCTATATTCGTAATATTTTTATAAATAAGATTACTTTGGAAAAAATTAGAATATAAATTTATATAAACTTTCAAACGAAATAATTTTTTGTTGATTGTCCTGTATTAATTATATTAATTATGATTCAGAAAACAAATAATCATTGTTATCTACAGGTATTTACTATAAATGCAATATTTAAAACATTATAACGGATTGTGGGCGCCAATGATGAAAGGTCAATCCTGTTGGTGCAACTTGGACCAATCATATAAGACCACGATTGCAATGGCGGCGTGGCTGAACAGTTTTGTGATATCGGGTGGTTAGATAGAGGCTTCTAAAGCCAGCAACTTTGTTTTCTTATGTATTGAAATATTCATATTATCGTGGCTCGCTCTTTTTATTCAGTCATGTATCATTGTGGTTTATTATTGGTCTTATTGGATCTGTCTTTCGATGGTAATTAATCCTAACCTAAAGTATCTTTAAATGTCTATTTTGCAGTATAACATTTAACGAGTTTGTATTCTAGTGGTTGGAAGTGTTTCTCAATTAGAAATTGACAGGCATTTGGAATTAGGTAGAGAATTTTTAGCAAAAGGACAATTACAGGATGCACTGTCACATTATCATGCAGCTGTTGGTAAGTTATATTTGTAATCATTTGTTTTATTTTTTTGATTTCTTTTGATTTATAAAAAATAAAATCTGTCATTAAAATTTAAATGTTGGTATATATTTTTTTTTGTAGAGGGAGATCCAAATAACTATTTGACATATTATAAAAGGGGCACAGTATATCTAGCATTAGGTAAAGCTAAATTTGCACTTCTTGATCTTGATAGAGTTTTGGAATTGAAACCAGATTTTACTTCTGCAAGATTACAACGTGGTAATGTATTACTTAAACAAGCTCAGTTTGAAAAAGCAGAAGGAGATTTTCGAGATGTGGTAAGTTTTTTTTTTATTTGTAATGTATTTTTTTTTTTTAGTATATTTTTTATTACTCACATATAATTATATTACAATTTTTTACTTTTTCCCAATTGTAGTTAGCAATTGAACCACAAAATTCAGATGCCTATAATGCCTTATATAAAATAGCACCTGCCCAAGAAGATTTATTAGTTGTAGACAGATTAAAAACAAATGGTGATTATGCAGCAGCTGTGCAACAAATTACTAGAGTTATAGAAGTATGTCCATGGTCAGCTGAACTTAGACAACGTAGAGCTGAATTATATGAAGTACTTGAAGATTATATTAGTGCTATTTCTGATGTACGTTCTACAACCAAATTACAATCTGACAATACACAAGGATTTTTAAAATTAGCTACTTTGCATTATCGTCTTGGACAAGTTGAAGAATCATTAAAGTGAGTAAGAATAAGATATAAATATTATAAGTCACTATATTATTATTTATATAATATCATATTTAAATTTATGCAATTAAAATTATATATATATATATGTATATGTATATATAATATGTATATATATAGGGAGATTCGAGAATGTTTGAAACTTGATCCAGAACATTCAAAATGTTTTTCATTTTATAAAAAAGTTAAAAAGGTAGCAAAATTATTAATATCTGCAACAGAATATGAGGATAAAAGAGATTATACTAATTGTATAGATTCAGCCTTGCCTATACTTAAACTTGAACCACAAGTAATCAATGTACGTTTCCTTGCTCATCAGCATCTCTGTAAATGTTATACTAGTAATCAGGAACCAACTCAGGCAATTAAAAATTGTCATGAAGCATTAAAAATAAGAAAAGAAGCTGCAGTATATTGTGATAGAGCAGAAGCTTATCTTGCTGCTGAAATGTTTGATGATGGTAAGTTATAATATTTATAGTCATAAGTATTTTAATTTATGCAATGCTTACATAAGATTTTCTCCCAAATTATTAAAAAAATTTTTTTCATATAAAGCTTACTATACATTGAATAAATATAAATAAATACAAATCTTGTCTAGACATTATCATTAAATTGTGAAATAATTAATATATTAAAATTATATATTAATATATATATAATTAATATAATAATATATATAATTATTTATAAACATGAAATAAGTTTTTCATATATATTTAACAAAATTAAATATTAAATGTTATATATATTACACTGATGAATTATAAAAGTAGATTAAGTTTTTAATTAAAAAAAAAAAAAAAAA